TTCCTGCTGTTAATACTCCTAGTACCACCTGAGAGGTACCGGGGCTGCCCCGCCACTCCACCAGGCTCCAGACGGCGCTTGCTCACTGACAAGGTCACCAGGAACCTGGGTCTCTAGAGTCTCAATCCAGAGCCTCTGTCCATCCCCAGGGACCGCCAAGTGGGTGTGCTCCTCTCTTGCTTTGGGGATTTACAACTGTTTTATTTCCAAAATAAAGAGAACAAAGCTCCTCTACTGGCAATAATTATCTATACTAATAAAAGCCTAGGTGGTCCTCGTGCCCTCTCACGATGCCCTCACATCATCACAAGATGGCCGGCAGGGGAGGGCAGTTGAGGGCGATCAGGCTGGCAGGCAGAAGCGGTTAGGGACAATCAGGCAGGCAGGCGAGCGGTTAGGAGCCAGCAGTCCCAGATTGTGAGAGGGATGTCTGACTGCCGGTCTAGGAATCGGGCCTAAACTGGCAGTCGGACATCCCTCAAAGGGTCCCAGATTGGAGAGGGTGCAGGCTAGGCTGAGGGACAACGCCCCCGCCCCCCCCCTCCACCCGCACAAATTTCATGCACCGGGCCTCTAGTGGGGTAATAAAAGGAGGTTTAATGGGTGCTCAGGGAAGGAGACACAGCAGCTCTGACAACCACCAGTGCCAACTGTCAAAGCATTACCAGTGCCACTCCCTAAGGGACCAGGAGGCAGGTAGGAGATGAGGAGATGGCTAGAAGGTTTGCCTCTTCCTTCCCCTGGGCGGCAGTGTAACAGAGAGAGGCCCAAGGGGGAGGGAGGAGCAAAGGGACAGAGAGAGGAAGGAGGTGGGAGGGACTGCACGCACCTCAGCAGGAGGCCTTCTCTGAGGCTCCCTGGATCTTCAGTCATGTGACTGAACGTCAATAGGTGTCCCCTGAGCCCAAAGAAGCAGGGTTGGCCAGGAGGAAGCAGCTCCAAGCTGCCCCCAGGGAAGGGCTTTGGATCACCCCAATGCAGGCCGAGGAGAGGGGGACAGGCAGGGACTGGGGAGGCCCCTGGGTCTGAGGCCAGCCTCTGCAGCTGCTATTTTTTGGGTTGAGCAGTGACCAACCTGGATAATTGGATCCTTGCCAGGTGCCCAAACATGGCACAACCAAGGGACCTTGGGAACCTGAATCCTGATTTCATCCCCCTGCTCTCCGCCTCCCTAGGGACCCCTCAGGCTGGGCTGTCTGGGTTCGACCCCCTTCTGCTGCCTTGGTTCTCCCTGGTGTCCCCAGCCCCGCCTGGGCACTCCCTGTGGAGGAAGAGGGCAACTTTCAGGAAACTGGCCAGTGCCAGGGCTGGGCACTGCCTATTAAGATGAGTCTTTCTTGTTATGGTCTCTTGTTTTGATGGAATGTCTCTTCCAAAAGTTTCCTGAGGAAAGATGCAGACGTGGCCACCTTCACGTGCTGCCGCGTTTCACGGATCATTGAGGCTGTGCGCCTCCAGGTTCTCCAGCAGCTGCTAGTCCCGAGCCATCTGACCTCCGGCTGCTTGACCTTGATGATTGGCTCCAGCTGCTGGGGCAGCTCCTCCTGACCTTGTGGACATGTCCCTCCCCCGACCTCCATGTCACATCCTGTCACTAAGAGACCCCCAGCAATGACTACAAACAAACAAACAAGGCAATAGAGAAGGAAACATTAACAAATGGCAGCTCTAATGACCAGCGGAGCACATGGAGGTCACATTCCAGGAATGTGTTTTACTAGAGGCACCTCATGGAAAAACTGAAAATACTAAGAAAGCAGCACACTCCCGACTCTGCCAAAGAACTCTAGCAGCAGCTGCCTCCTGTTAAAGAAGATCTACATCCGGAAGTATTAAATCTCTCATTTTTAAAATTATTATATAATATTTTTGTTAATTCTCACAGGAGGATTTTTTTCCCCCATTGAGTTTTAGAGAGAGTGAAAGGGAGGGGGAGAGACTGAGAGAGAAGCATAGATGTGAGAGACATATTGATTGGTTACCTCCCACACAGCCTGCAGCCTAGGTATGTGCCCTTGACCCGAATCAAACCCAAGACTTTTCAGTCCACAGACCGATGCTCTAACCACTGAGCAACAGCTAGAGCTAATAATATTTTTTGGTGGAGTGGGTGTTATGTTTTTGAACCAGTAGCAGCACTGGAGGGAGAAATAGGGGATCCCCAAAGGTGGCTCAAAAGGTTCTTAGATCTTGGCCCCCTTTGTTGGGCCTTGCTGGCCACACAGACTCGTGTAGATCACATCGCTTGGGGGCCTGTGGTATTAGAATGAATGGACAAGTAAAGTGAGGGGGCGGGCACAGGGAGAAGTGGAGCCCTGCCTGGGTTCTGCCCGGGAGTTTTCTGGACCACATTGGGTGGGTAGAGGTGAGGGGTTACCATCTGCCAGGAAAGGCAGTGAAGCGGATGCCCGCCCCTGCCCGTCTTCAGAGGCTGGAAGGGACTGGATGGATGCATTCTGCACTCAGCCCCCACCAGGGCCCAGCCTGAGGTCACCCACAGCGAGGAGGTGGCAGTCGAACCCAGGCCTGCCACCCCTCCAACCCCAGCGGACACAATGTGCCAGCTGGTGCTACACGGGCGCCTGGGAGTGCCCATCGCAGACTGGAACCAGGAGGGCTGACTGCACCTGCCCACAGTGCGGAACTAGTACCAGGGAGCTGGCACACAACGTTCAGGGGCAAGGACACCCAGTGCACCCCAGGGAGAGGTGAACAGAGCGCAGGTGTGTGTAAGGAGAAACCTCTGAGAGCATTGGGGACAACACCAAGAGGTAGGACACATGCACAGTAGGACCCCATTTGTGTAGAAAAAGAGTGAGTATTTTATGAGGAAACAGCAAATATCTTTTGTCTGTGCACTAATTTAAAAAGACCCACAGGAGTCCACCCCCCACCCCCATTGTTACTAATGATGATTTGGGCGAGAGAGACAGTTTATCTCAGATTTTTGGTTTTGCTTGAATTGTTATCATGAACATGTATACATTTTTGCATGTATTATTTTTTCTAATTTTAAATTGATTTTAGAGAGGGAGGAAGGGAGGAAAGAAGGGAGGGAAGGGGAGAGAGAGAGAGAGAGAGAGAGAGAGAGAGAGAGAGAGAGAGATTAAATGGTTGCCTCCAGTACATGTCCCAACCTGGGATCGCACCCACAACCTGGATATGTACTCTGACCAGAAATCAAACCTGAGACCTTCTGGAACACAAGATGATGCTCCAATCAACTGAGCCACACCGGCCGGGGCTGCATATATTACTTTGATCTAAAAACTGACAGGAGCTGACGTCATTGCCTCTGGGGACAGAAACTTGTTTGGGGGAAGAGGAGGTAGTTAAGAGACACTTCAGCACCGTCTGGAACAGTTAAGTGGTTTGTTTCTTTTTAAAGAGATGCTCTTGGGCAATTTTTAAAGCATTTTAAAAACCTAGTGAATAAATAAAAAATACAACTCCTGGCTGCAGCTTCTGAGCCCTCCCACTTTCCCCTCATGCCTTCGCCACCTCCACCTCCACTGTGCCGGGGAGGCTCAGCTCTGAGCAAGCAAACCTGCCTGCAGCCAGAGGAAGGCCTGCAGAGTCCAGGCCCAGAGAGGCTGAGCGCTGCAGCCAGGGCAGCTCAGCACTCAGGCCCACAGCTCCACAGGAGGCTGCCACACTTACCCAGTCCTCCTGTCAGCTCAGAGGAGCAGGGCTGCAGCCCAGGAACCCAGCTCAGCTCCCCAGAGAGGGCGGGTGCTCTTGACACTGATCCCTGCCCAGTCCCCAAGAGGCAAGGCACCATTCCAAGTGCAGAGTCCTCCAAGGCCCTCTGGTTGCATGCCCACAGGGATCCTCGCGCACCCTGAGCCCACCAGCCAAGGATCCACACTTTGCCCAGTGTGATGTTTGACCCACTTCACCGGCTCCTTCCCCTCACTCATGGCTTCTCCTGTTACTGAGGCTACGGAACATGGGCTGAAGGAGGGGTGTGTGCTTGGGGAGAGATCCCAGGCCCCTGCCCGACACCGAGCTCCCGTCCTCCCGTGCTCCACAGTGGCTGGCAGGGAGCATTGTGGAGTACCTGACAGCTCCCTCCTCTCCTTCCTCTCCCTCAGCTCCTGCCTTCTTCATTGTCATATCAATCTGGACAGCTGTCAAGCCAGCCCTGAAACACACCCAGTTTCCCTACTCGGTTCTGGAAAGAGCCCTGGACAGAAGCCAGGACACCCAGCCTGAAGTCCTCGGTCTGCTCCAACCAGTCTGGTGACCACAGGCATCCTTTGCTCTGGGAGTCAGAGATACCACCTTCCTGCCCAGCTGGGCAAGAACAGGAGAGCTGAGGGGTGGAGGAGGCAGTGTTTATGCCCAACTGGCCTTCAGCATTTACTCAGCACCCGCAGCACACCAGGTGCAGCACCAGGGCACACCCAGATAATGGAGAAAGCGTCTTTACCAGCAAGGAGCTCACGGTGCAGGGCCGTGGCCAGCCAACAAGCAGACAGACACTTGTGTGGAAGTTCTACAGTGACAGCATTCGAAGTAACAAGGCAGGGCCTTAAGTTATGCCTGGGCCAGCTCAGAAGCTTTGGAGAAGAGGGGGCATTTGATCTGGGCTTGGAGGGATGGATAAGAGTTCACCTATTAGAGATCAGAGAGGCCTTGTAGGCAACTGGCAATACAGAGAAAAAGCAAAACAGGCTTCACCTAGAGATGCATCAAAAGGTGAAGATGGGACTGAAGAGACAGGTAGGTGGGCACTGGACAGTGTTGATCTGTATCAGTTAGAGCGCTTTTGGCTACAAGTAAATGAATTGACCAGCTGAAGTGTATAAACATACAGTGTTTTATTTTGTTACATAAGAAAGGGAATCAGGGCATTGCCAGGCTGGAGAATTTAGCAGCTCAATGTTATGGTTAAGAACCATTTTTTCCACTTTGGGCTTGTCTCCTCATGGCCACACGGTGGCTGCCGCAGCACTAGACAACATGCCCTCACACATCCAAAGACAGCAAAGGGCCGCTTCCTCAGCAGCCTGGGCAGACTCCTTCTTACCGCCAGGTCCTCTTATCTAGGCGTGGATCACATGACAGGGCTTTCCCTTGAAGGGAGGCTGGAAAAGCAAGCACGTGGCATTTTTCTGTTCTAATGGAAGGTGACGTGTGCCCTGGGAAGACGGGTGGAAGTTGGGGTCCCGGGAGTGGCCATTGTTAGACAACCAGCTGTGTCTGCCAGGGTCTTGAGAGCCAAGCTTATGAGTAAAGACCATCACGAAGCAATGGGGCAGCTGTCAGAAGCCTGCGGCCAGGGTAGTGGTGGTAATGGGGCAGCTGTCAGAAGCCTGCGGCCAGGGAGGTGGGGGTACAGCCTGAGTGCTGGGACACAGACACACACACACACACGCACACATGCACATGCACACACACACGCACGCACACACGCACGCACACACAGCAGTTCTCACATCATCCTGTAGAGGGGGGAAGGAAGGGTAATTGGCAGGGGTCACCCTGCTCTGGAGGAGCAGTCACCCAGCTTGCTCAGAGTTTCCCCGAAGGCGGGGGGTCCCTGTGGGCATCTGCAGACGGCAATGTGAAGGAAGGGGCTCAGAGCCCAAGACAGGCTCAGAACACATGGTGGGCAGGGGCACTACCGCCTCGCCAATGCCTGTAACCCACCACTAAAGCTTTGTTCCTTCGGGTTCAGCACTGCCCTCTATTTTACAACACAAACACCAACAGCAGGGCGAAGATGCCCTCTGCTGATGTCCCTGGATGTCTCAGCACTCCCCCGCCCTCAGACTCGTCCCCTTGCACTGAGGAAGAAGCAGCAAGCCACTCTCATGGCTGCAGCCCCAGAGGCCCAGGCTGAGGACGAGTCCATCGGGGCAGCTGTGAGGCCAGAGGGAGAGGTGCATGGTCCCCAGCCTTCCCTGAGCCCCCCAAGGAGGGCCCTAGACTCTGATTGCATGGGCACTGTCACTATCATCTGTCCCCTTTACAGACAAGGCACGGGGGCCCAGAGCTGGGCGTACACTGAAGTGCCAGCAGAGGGGAGGGAGGCAGGATTTCTGCAGGGGCCTCCTCTCACCCTGAGCTCCTGGGTGATGGGGCTGCGGCGGGAGTGGGGCTCCCTGACCTCTGAGACACCTCCTCCCAGAGCAGAGCCACTAAGCTGGCTCCAGGCCCCCCACAGACAGATGTGAGAGAGAAACAAACTCTCATCCTGTCAGGTGCTGTTGCAGCAGAAGTAAATCAATGGACTCACTCTTTGGTGTCCTGCTAAGTGGCTACGTGCTGTCACTACGTCACCTCCCATGAGACCTGCCAACCCCTCTGGGATTCTCTAAGCCCTATCATTTGGCAGGTGAGAAGCCGGAGGCCTAGGGCTGAGAGTCAGACCTCCCCAGGTGGCTCCAGCCAAGGGCCCTCTGTGGTCATTCCCCAACTCAGTGAGCAGCAGAATTTGTAAATGGTCCTGAGCCATCCACAGATGTGCTGGGCCAGAATCCATCCTGACAAACCTAAACGTGCGTTTTCAGCATTTCCTGGTGATTCTGAAGAGCAGATCAAGCCCAACGCTTTTGTTTAACTCAGAGATCAGAGGGAAAGGGAAGGCCGACCCTGCCCATCCTCTTTGTGGCCAGGTTGTAATGCCAGCTGGGGACCTGACAGCCCCACGAGAAGCTGGGATGGCTTTGCCACGCAATGCACGTGTTCCCCCATTGCCGGGGGTATCCAAACCCAACCCAGGCAGGCCCCCACAGAGCAGGTTCCTGCCGCATCCGCCTAGTGTGTGCTGGCTGCATCTCTTTTCTGTGGGCACCCAGCCAGGCCCCCAGGCTTCTGCACTGACTCTGATCTCTGGCTCACTCCCAGGGCACTGCTCCTGCTGCGCAGATCTTGAACACAGGTTTGGGCACAGGTCTGGGCTACCTGGACCTGTCCTGACCTCAACAGATAGCCTCAGACAGATAAATTACACCCTTCCCTGGGCCTGAGCTCACCTCTGCATGGCCAGGGAGTTGACCTGGATCCAGAGTCAGGTGAAGCTGGTGGGCCCTACTCCCATTCTCCAGGGAAAGAATCTATCCATTCACTCTTCTACTCATTTGACATTCAGCAAATATGTATTATACACTGACTTTGTGCAATTCTTAGGCACTGGGGACACCACAGAGAACAAACCAGACAGCAATCCCTGCCCCTCAGGGAGGTGTTGTTCCCGGAGACCTACATGCACTGGTGGCATCACGAAGAATTCTGAAATTCTACTGGATGGGAGGCAGCAGGAAGGATGGATGGGAGGATGGATGGATGGATGGATGGATGGATGGATGGATGGTTGCAGAATTGGAAGGAGAGATGGATGGATGGATGGATGGATGGATGGATGGATGGATGGATGGTTTGAGAGGGAAAGAAGCATGAACCCTTACTCTACTCCCTGTGAATAGATTTCCATTTTAGTGGTGCTGCCTGGCTGGCTCCCAGATGAAGCGTGAAGGGGACAGTGGCCTGGATCAAGGCAGGGCATGGTGGGGATCAGTAGTAGGCTGGGGGAGATCTGCTAATGGGCTGGACTCCAGGAAGGTGGCTTGAGAGGAGGGTGTGGAGGACAGGGCTGGGGATGGGGGTAGGGAAGGCATAGGCTGAGGCCAAGGTTTGACGGCATCAACCTGCTTCTCTCCTCCTTTGCCCAGATGGGGGCCTCTCCCTGGGGCATGAGTACCACAGTCTGAGCTGCGCTGTTCCCCTGTCCTGCCAGGGCCAAGTGCCATGAATCAGGCAACCGCAGAGATGGAGCCCCGCCAGGATACGGGTGACGAGGAGGAGGGAGCAAGAAGGCCCGGGGTGAGGCATTGGCTGTCGTGGGGGATGGCATCAAAGGGGGTGTCAGTGGGTTGGGCCTGCAGCAGCCCTTTAGTCCTCCCAGCAGGTCCGAGGGAGAGCCTGCTGGCACTGTTCTGTAGGATGGGCCGCCAGTGATGAGCCGAGGTCTCTGCACCAGAGCCAGCAGCAGCAGGGAGCATGAAAGTCAGATCCCCTGTGCACAGTGCTGGGTGCAAGCTGCAGCGCTCACAGGACGAGCTCTCCCCACGCACCCTCTCCCCATTGTCTCTGACTCACCAGCACCCTTCCCTTCCACTCGGTTCCTGAGAAGCTTCCTGTCCCCCTTGTCCTGTGAGTCACCTCCCACCCTCAGCGCCCCTCCCACACGGTGCGATGGATCATCCTCCTGCCTCCCCAGCCCCTTTGCCTGTGAGCACCGAGCACCGAGCACCGTGCTTTCAAAAGGCTGGCACGAGGCAGGGACGGCCAGGCTGGCAGGGCCCTCACTCTGCCTCTCCTCCCCAGGCCCAGGTGAGACCTGTTGGGCTTAAGATCCGCCCCCTCGTTAACCGTCCAGCACCCTCCCACCCTCCCACCCCCCCAACCCCCAATGAGGAGGACTGCTTTAGGATCTGGTCCTAGAGAGCCCCCTGAGCTGAGGAAACCCGGGAAGGCTGCTGGGGTTCATCTTCAGTTCTCGGCCTGAGGTCATCCCTTAGCTGCTCCCTCGGGCCAGCTGTCCCCCACTGAGGACACGGACTCTGGGCAATGGCTGGGAAGTCTGTCTGCCCTCCATCCTCTCTGTGGCCACCTTTCTGGACCTCGGGTCCCCATGTACAACGTGTGTGTGGGGTGTCCTGGCTCCAACATCAGACACTGACACCCACCTCTGTTTACAG